TGCAAAGAATAGTTCAGCCTGTATGTGGAGGAATGCACAGTTTTCTTGCATCATATGGACTTAAAATAAAACACTTTACACTGGGTTGATTTTCTCAGATCAAAATGCAGTTTCACGCTCAACTCTTTTCCTATTTGATCCAAAGGTTGGTCGAGGTTTTTAGGTGCAAGTCTTGTCAAAATAAAACCAAAACTAAAAGTGTTAGTGGCTGAACGGCGTCTGAAACCCTCATGTGCATCCGACAGTTTTTGGAACCATCCGCCACTGAACTACTCTGTCAACATCTCCTTTTTCTACTCTCTTTTTCACACGACCGCCTCTACCTCCCTGCAGACCGGTCTCCTGTGTCTTAGTGAAATGGATGGGTGACGTCCAAGAATCAAATCACCTACTGCACCTCATTTTAAAACCATTAGATTATCAAAAAACTCTTCTTCTTCTGACAGCATCACTTCCTGCTTCGACGCTGTCGTTGTTATTTTCACCTTCATTTCATCTCTTTGTTTTCAGTGAAGAAAGAACAAACTCACGGCGACTCGGCAGAAGAAACGATGACGATTCTCACTCATAAAAGGGTCCGGGGCCCTTTTCTTTCAGGCTCTTCCATAAACAGTGATGCTTATTAACTGTGGTTCAGACACCCCACAACACGCACACACCCTCCCTCATCTCCATGCTAACAGGTGGTCTGTCTGTAACAAGTGAACAGGTGTCTCTTTGTGGCTCCGCCAAGAGACAGCAAGCTGAAAAAGAAAAAAAAACCCCAACAACAAACAAGCAGCAGCGCCTCCGTCCTGTTAATTAGCGCCAGAGCGCTTTGCTTATTATCTCAGTCTGAAGTTTAGTTAAAACGCTCGACTTCTGAGCCGTTCAGACGCAGCTTGTCTTTCAGTTGGGGCCTCTAGGAAGTTTCCGAGCGAACGGGGATCTGCTGCAGCTCAGAGTCCGTCGGCGGAGCGGGGAACAATATTTGCCGCCGGCTGACACGTCTCGGCAAGGCGCCACGGCGGCCGCTGGTGTGTGTGGGAAGCGCTGACGGGGGGACGACCCACGATGTGTTTGTGGATTCAGTGACACTCTTGACGTAACGATCCTCAAAGTCAACACAATCAGCTGGCAGTCATTTGTTTGTGTGTGTGTGTGTGTGTGTGTGTGGGTGTGGGTGTGTGTGTGTGTGTGGGTGTGGGTGTGTGTGTGTGTGTGGGTGTGGGTGTGTGTGTGTGTGTGGGTGTGGGTGTGTGTGTGTGTGTGGGTGTGGGTGTGTGTGTGTGTGTGGGTGTGGGTGTGTGTGTGTGTGTGGGTGTGGGTGTGTGTGTGTGTGTGTGTGTGTGGATGAAAATGGCCTCTTCACACTGCGGGGCATGTCTTCATTCCTGGACAAAGCATTCGTATAAACACTGTAAATCACACACAGGCAGGGTTGAGGAATATGAAGGGAACTTGGCTGACCTGTTTGGTCCAGGCCGCCACAGAAAGGCCCGATGAACCATCTTAAAATATTAAGTGGCCAACGAATATGTACACACTGGCTGAGCGTGCTCGAGTTACTGGAGTCCCACGAGAGGGCTCGCAGAGCAAAATAATATACAACCATCTGAGGCACAGCTCGTTAATTCTGACCCATACGTTCAGGACAAGCAAATGCTGATACTGATTCATTCGCCTGCGTCAGTGCGAGTATGAAACCGGGAACCTGCACACTGTCAATGCTGCAGAGGGAAGAAACAGAGTTCAGTTCTTTGAAGGTAAATCATGTGTTTGCAGTGAATTTGTTGACTTCTAATAAAGGAGATAAAGAAGTGTTACTATAAACGCACAAACTTACAGTATCAGCATTTTAAATGTTGTTTTTAAAGCTCCTCCAGTCTAAAGGTCTGTGTCCATGTGTAGTGTGATTACAGATCAGCTCTAGCTTCTATATTAATACTGTGAAAGTATCAAAGCCTCAGTCCACAGAGAAATGCACACAGCCTGTATTCAGAAACTGAGCCTTAAAACCAGCCGTCAGGACTTCCTGTAACTTTGTGATGTCACAACAAAGCAGCCACTGCCCTCTGCCATATGTCTGAGTTTGGACACTTTCTTTGGACTTTGACTGTTTTTGTTTAGTTCCTGTTTTACTTTGAAATTGTTTACCCTGTGTGTCTCGTGTTTGTTTTTACTTCCTGTCTTTGTTTCCCTCCTCAGTGATTGTGGGCGGGGCCCTGATGTGTTTCACCTGTGCTCTATTCCCCTCTGTCAGCTCGTCTGTTTGCTTCAGGTGAGTTTCCCGTCTTCAGATTTGTATCTCCAGTAAAAGTTGGGACCTTGAATTCGTTTTGACCAGTAGAGGGGCTTTGTTTTTTCTCGTGAGGACGGGTTTCACCGCAGGTTCTTACAGGTCGACACCTTTTGATTTTTTGGGTTGTCCTCACCTGTGTTAGAGAGCAGTTCTTCCACAGACGATCGGATGTTTCACTGAGGGTGAATGGAGCCACCCTACGAGGGGAAGCTCATTCTGTCCACGTGTGCGCACAATCTCACACCTGACGCTCACGACTGAAGGTGACGAAGGTCGTCCAATAAACTCTCAGTCTCAAGTTTACCCTCATGAACACGACCCTGATATGGACACTTTTAGTTCTTTTCTAAATGTGACTTTCTTCACAGTGCGCATGAAGTCCTGAGAAGTCATACTTGCATTTATACTACAAACATTGTCTGAGCTTTGATCCAGATCATGTTCTCCACACCTGCTCTTGAAAATAGTTTTCCTACTGTAGGTTTTACTTGTGTTAAACATTTGGCACAAATTACTTTTTCTAGCAATGACGACAACGCGGACTATGTAAGCGCCACTGGACGCCACAAAGGAGTGCTGTCGTTCCGTTGCTGGTCGAGACCTCGGCCCGGTCGGACGCTCCCAGAAGCGTTGCCCCTCGACCCCCTCAGATTGATCGCCGTCTCCGGGCTCAGACGTTTCAGGGCCGCGGCAGAACCTGCTGTCTGCAGTTTGCTTAGACTAAAAAGCTGCTAAAAGCTGGGATCAATTGGGCGGGAGAATCAATCAGGATCATCCGTGTTTATACGACTTTAGGAGGATTACCTCACTGTTACTGGAATGGCCTCACAGGAATGACTGGCCATTAGAACAGTGGGACTAAACACGGCCCCGCTGTTTACATAAAAGGTGATGTGGGCTCGGCCTCGGGCTCTGTGTGCCAGAGACAATTAGGCCCCTATACAGGCCGTAATCCACCGCCGGGCGCGAGGTAATCAAATTCAAACATAGCAGGGCCCCCGAAAACAATGAGGGCCGGGATTACAATGAATGCATGTGAAGATAGAAAATTAATAAGCTTAACACTGGACATGTGCCACAGTGACCGCAGCATCAGATGGATGGTTTTGAAATGGTTTCTCTCTTTTTTTTTTATTAATATAACTGTGAAGTGAAATATTACAAGTAAAAAAAAACGTGTGAATTATTTTATTCCATGTGATTTTTTTTTTTGTTTTTCAGATCTTAATACCTCCACTGAGGAAAAACTCTGTCCAGTGGCTGTGCAAAGTGTGACACTGGACACTGTTTGACCCGCCGACCTCTGACATCAGAAAGGCGTGTGGAGATCGGGAGAATCCAACAGGTATTTTTGTTTGAACCGCATTGACACTGTTAAAATATCATTTCTGGATGAAACCCAAACCAGACTGAATGGCCGAACTTTAAACTGGGTCTCTGAATTTATCCTTTAGACCGTGCGAAGGCGTAGAGAAAACTGATGGAAGAAGTTCTGTCAGGTCAGTTTTAAGACGACGCAGCGTCATGTCTGTCAGAGTGGATGATGACTGGATATCATCATTGTAGGAGGGAATCGAACCTGTGACCTCGCTGCTTTATGACAGAATCACCACAAATGATCGCTTCACTTTTTTCTCCACAGTTGGAAGCAGGAAAGTCACATTTAATAGGACAGATTTATTATGGTTGTGAGGTTTTTTTTGAGCTCACTGTGTTGAGATCACGTGATTGTGATTTAGTGCTAAACAAAATAAAATGGAGTTGAATTGAATAAGTAAAATATTTTAGTGCGTTGAACCTTTTTTTGACGATTGGACTGATTGTGACTTTGGGTGAAACTTTCATATCTGGGGATTTTTCCTGGAGTAATTCAGATGGTTTCTGGCAGGATACAACTTGTGTGGAAAAATACAGAAAATAAAATGACACAGAAAAAAGAAGTGAAACATTGTGTGTTTAAAGTTGTAGATAGTTCACTTCTTCTGCTGTCATTTCCTGTATTAATCCACAATCTGATCAATAAAATGTCTCCTGTCCAGAGCTCAGCATGAGGCAGCTTCTCCTGTCAGCATGTGGACGTATCAGATGATAAGGTGGACTAAAGCCTATAAATACGGCTGCCCGAGTCTCCTGGTGAGCCACTGCTTAAACTCTGCTGCCTGCGACACCTGAGGATCTGCGCTGTCTGAGCCTCCTGCGTCCGGAACGTTTCATTATTCAGGTTCAACTCTTCCCGCATGGACAGAGGCGCCTGAGAGCAGTCGTTCTTCTTCACGTGTTTTTTTTTTGTTTGTTTTGTTTTTTGTTTTTCTTCTCATGAATTAATTATTCGCGCCCTCGGATCTATTGAAACGATGTCTCCTTGTGCGTAAAATGCCGCGCTCAGTGCGTCCTGGCGCGGACGATTCCTTGGAAAATGTGCGGTGTCAGTCGCGTTTCCTTCACGCCCCGCTGTCGTGGATCGGTGCTGAGCAGGAGTGGCATCTCGGCGACAAAATCTGGATGAAAGAGCGTCCTTTAGAGCTCAGGCATGCATCGAGTAATGAGATCATTGGCGTTATAAATATCCCCGTGCCAGCAAAACAACTCCAGCTACTGCAGCCGGGGTAATGCCCAGGAGCGCTGCACGCGTGTGTGCGCACGGTTTCTGGTGCCCAGACCTCAGGAGCGACACCAAAAATGCCAGAAGTGGCCTAGCGAGCGTCTCCTCTTTGGAAGAATGAATGTTCCTCTTTACCTTCTGACCTTCGCTCACTTGATTTGCGCCGCCGCCGGAGAGGAGCACGTCTCTTTGGAGCGCCAACTTCTGGAGGAGGGGATCAGATCGGGACGCAGGACTTGCAGGCTCTACTGTAGGGTTGGCATCGGCTTCCACCTCCAGATTCATCCCGACGGCAGAGTGAACGGCAGCCATGAGCCCAACCAGCTGAGTAAGTCATTCACTCCGGTTTCACGGCTGCACAGAGCGCTCCAACTACTAAATTATACACGTCTGACGCGCCAGATGAATCCAGCGCGTCCCGCTGAGAATGCGCACTTGGATCCACGTCTCAGCATTTGCTCTAATTGATTCCCTTCTATTACTATTTTAAAAATTGTCGTCGTCGTCGTCCCCCATCCCCCTTGGGAGTTTTTAACAATAATGATTTACACGGGAGGATCGTAAGGAGCGCGCACCCTAAACTTAGGCTGCATGACCCTGTGAAATATCTGAGCAGCGGCCATCTGGTTGACGAGCCTTGTTTGTGTCTCTCCGGGATGTTGGCAGGTAGACTATTTGTGGAAGTGACAGGTGCAGCAGCGAGACACCAGGATGTGTTGGATTGCCCATCAGCACGATTGTCATCACAACAACGTTACTCCACACACTGCAAAAAATATCCGGCTTCAAAATTCCTAACTGCCTGTTACTGCACCTTCAAACTGTTTCTCCTCAAAACTGCTGGAAAAAAATCGTTGGTTTTACATGTAAATTCAATGATTTGACTTTAAAAAAAGAAAAGAAATATGTCACAAATAAAGAGCAATAATAAGTTGATGTGAAATGCTCTGTGGTGTGTGGTGAGATAAGTTTTCAGCTGATTTAAGAGTTACTTTGCAGTGCAGATATAGTGTTAATCTGATGCATTTCTGCAGGGTCCAGTCATTTCAGAAGCATCATCCTATGGACAAAGGATTTTTGATGCACCGATATCAATATTTGACTATTTTAAAGTATAAATCTGATTATTATAAATCCCCAAATATTCATTTTTATACATAAACACAACATAAACAAACATTTTTCATAGGTAATAAGTTAATATTGGCCCAGATTTATCGGTCAGTCTACCTCTAAAAAGTGGAGAAATTCAAACATGACTTATGGATAAAAGAAAGTGACAGTTTCTTACAATAAGACAAAAAGATTTTACGAGATATTTAAACTGAAAATTATTTCTCTTCATTTGAAAACCCCGATCTCTAAACTCAAGTAGAATATAAGAAAAATTCAAAACTAAGCTGCGGCACAAACTCAGGTGCGTCCAGACAGGACTATTCAGCCTGATGAGTTTATTTCCATTCATAAAAATAAAAAAATACAGCAGTATCATTTCAAATGCCAGAGTTACAACTGTCCTGTATGTGAGTCTTGTCCCGTGTCGTCGTCCGGGGCCCAGTGAATGACTGAAGCCATAAATAAAGATTTTTTAGTTTTTTATAAACTCACACAATCGACCCACCCCCCTCACCCCACCTCTATCCTCCCCAGGAATCAGAATCGACTACTAAACATAAGACATGAACGACAAAGAATACAGCCGAAGCTCACCGTGAAAGTGCACTTGTGCCTCCATTTCATGGTCCCCCCCCTCCCCTCCCTCCTTTAGAAGAGTTGTCAGGTTACATGGATTTCACCGCAGCAGCCGTGTGGTTTTGAATCCTGCATGACAGCACTGGAGACGAGCAGGAGACTGGCCGTCTTAGATTTGTAATATGAAGATTGTTTTACCAGTGGTGGCTGTAGGAGTTTAAACACAGTTCACTGGCTGCAGAGACAATAGTGATCTGGGAAAACACTTCTCTTTAAGATGCATTTTATTTGTCTTTTATACCTTTTCTTTAATTATTAGAAATTGGACAGACGCTGGCGCTTCACATATCTTCCTCTCATGTGCCAAAGATGCAGGTCTCATGTTTATAATCAGCCTTTTCAACCTGCAGTGTTTTATGGCTTTTTGGTTTCTCCTCCTGTGTATGTTTCTTTTCTTTGTTCCCCCTGCAGTTTTTATGGTGATTTTGTTGTATTTCATTCAGTTTAATGGCCTAAAGTACGTCTGAGCGCCTCTGAACGCGCGAATATCAACCTCCATGGAAGAACAAGTGGATGCTACTGATCGCCATCACTCTGGTTTTCAGTGCACACCTTTCACGTTCATGTTCGGTATTATCCTGTATCACTGAGTTAGAGTTTGGGTTAAGGCCAACCTCAGGGTTAGGGGTATGTTCTCCACAAATGTAGGTCTTGTGAGGAAAGTGATGCTGCACAGATGATGTTTTTAATTAAATTAGAAGACAGGGTGTTTATACTGCGCACTATACTGCGTTTATACTGTGCACTGAATGCATCATCCCTCATTACTCTGCCACTGTATCTGCTTCATGCACCTATAGCCAGGCCATATGTGATATTTTTCATAATATATATATTGCTGAGGTAAAAACTGCTGCCATTGGACGTACATGGATATTCCACGTTACATGCAAATGAATCAAACTTGCTGGAGTTACAGTATTTGTGCAACCCCACTCCTGTTTCCTCTTCTGAAGCAGTTTGTAGGGACCTTTCTGAAGAGCACACGAGTAGTTAACTGAAGGAGGAGCTTCGCCTCTTACTCTTCACATCAACCGGCCTATCAGAGGCATCATCCCGCCTCTGTGAACTCTAGGCTGCTGCTGCTGCTGGTCACACAAGCAGTGTTAAGTCTCCTACTGACTACTGAGTCACACTTTCAGCCAAAAAGGTCATAATAATCAAATGTAACTCAGTGTGGAGATGCTAATCTCAGATGCTCATTTGCCCACCATTTTTCATCAGTGAAATTCACTTTGGTTGCCGTAAAAAGGTTTTTAAAAGTCACGTCATTCATTTTCTACCAACAAACACCAGGGATCTGAATGAACTCACTGTAGGTGTGTATAACTGAGCTGACAGGGCGGCAGAGCAGAGAGCCGTGTCCGCTACGTTACCCCGGCGGTGGAGAAGCGACGAGCTGCAGGAAATGACCACGGGTAGTAAAAATACACTCTGTCACCCATCAGTCATCAGAGCATGTTGTTTGTCCTCCCAGGTGTCCTGGAGCTCTTTGCGGTTTCTCAGGGGGTCATCGGCATCAAAGGGGTCTACAGCAACAGATTCCTGGCCATGAATAAAAGAGGACGGCTCCACGCCACCGTGAGTATCCCGCTCACTTCACCGTCAGCACATACTGCTGACTTTTGTTTTTGAACTGATAACGAGTTTTAATTGGACTGTTGTCGTCCGGTCGTGCAGCTGTGATGGCTCTTATGGCATTTTGCTGATGTTTACAGTCTCACAGTTGATGCTGAGGATTCGTTTAGCACACATCCTGACATATTACCAACTTGTTAGCACACACGGTTGTTATCGCTAACAAGCTACCAAGCTAACAGCTGCATATTTTCACACCAGGCAGACACAGAGCGACGTCATCACCCCACTGGTGTCTCCACAAACTCCAGAGAAAAATATCAGGCTCTGTAGCTAGTGAACGCTCCACTGTGTTCACCTGTTAGCCGCTAACTGCAATCCCAATGTCCAACCCCCTGAAGGCCCAAGCCCTGAACCCTCTCAGACTTAATTAACGTCACCTATGTTTCATACATTTGTGGGTTTGAGACTTTTGATTTGACATTTTTTATACTTAGATGTTGTGAATGTTTGTGAACCGTTCTTCTTCTATGTTCTGGTAGTTAACGGACAGATGGGGATGATGGGAGACGACTCTCTTGGACCCGTCTCTCCACAAAAGACATCAGTGGTGTTTGCACTTGGCTGCGCGTGTGAAAATGACAGAGGTATCTTGTTAGATGCAGATGTTTCCAGTTGTGACGGACGAAAGGTGCGGGAAGAGGGAGAGTTTTCAAATTAAGAAATGACTACCACGCTCAAAGTTTCATGATGTTTACTTCTGACTTCGAATCGACCATTTCTTGTATGCTGAGCAGACTTCCTGCCAACGACCTGACCCAGCGTCACAGTTTAATTTGGCCACATAAACTGTGAATCTGCATCTCGTTAAGTGCTGATCTGATACTCCTCTCTGCTGCAGTCTGACCTCATGCGGACCCGTGAAACTGGTGTAGTCCTCCGTCAAACCCAGGCCCAGTGCAGCTATGTTTGTTTTATTTATTAGTCTCTGCAGCTCTGCATTAAAAAGCATCAGCATGTCATGGCATACTGCTGTAATCTTTAGCCACAGTTTTGAAGACTTTTAAATCCCCCCAAACACACACAGTAAACCCAAATCTGCCCACAGCAGCTTGGCCTTGCTGCTGTAAGCAGGGCTGGCCAGCCCCACCGACGAGTCATCTGTGGGAGCCTTGGCAGGCGTGTAGATAGAAGCGGCCCCCTATTAGCATGTGTTAATGGGAAGAGCAGATTAAGTCCTATCTGGGACGGCTGATAATATACAGAGGCGTGAGCCACAAAGTGAAAATCAATATGTTGAGTAAACAATCAAGCCGGGCGAGCAGCAGTCGGGAGAGCCGGAGAGTCTGCGAGCTGCTGCGGGTGTTCACGCTGCGCGACGGCGATTTATGTCCCCTCAGCTCCCGGTATTGTTTCATGAAACCGTGTCAGCGGGGGAGCGATGTGGCATCTTTCATCAAAGTGAATTCTCAGCCACGGCTTGTTAGAAATGTACCGTGGTGACTGCGCTCTGTCCACCAGCGGATACATATTCAGTTGTCGTTCCAGCTTGTGTACGCACAAGAGGAAAACCACAGACTTTTTGTGGGTCAAAGCGCGTCCCCAAACAAGAATTTACATATGAACCGAAAACAACGCGGTCGTGGATAATAAGAGAAAACAATGCGACAAAGCGAAACACAGCGCACTGCGGGGTGTCGCCGCAAAACTAAAGACCTGATCATTTTTGTTCTCATGCTAAAGCCAGGGTCTGAGTCAGAGGGATTTTCTGTCTTGTGGTCCAGCTTGTCTGCAGTTCTGTCTCATCTGCCTCCATTTCCTGTTCCGAACTGTCAAAATGTCAACGATGAAAGTCCAACTTTCCTCGTACACTCTGAGCATCTGCTGTTTATGTGTGTAGTGTTGTTGTGTGTGTGCGGGACTCCCTCAAGCAACACAATCAAACTGAAGCTTGATGCCCTTACCCTTCGTCCTTCACACTGTTTCATACCCCACCACTTTCTGATTTGGTCGTTTTTCCTGGATTTTTGTGGCTCTAATCAAACTTTAGCTAGTTAGCTGTCAGCTGTCACATAGCTGATCAATGTGCGAACAAATCGTAGCAGCAGAAGGAGCATGCAGTCGACCAAAGCTTTTAATCCACACCACAAATAGTTTGACAGCTAATCGCCATATTGCAATTAAACTGTGGTATATGTGGTGTATTCATGTTCCCCAGAAGATTAATGATGTTGGTGGACCTGCTGCTTTTTTTTTTTTTTTATCTCTGGCTCCACCCTCAGGTCAAGTTCCCCTTGACACCCCACCAATGACATAGTTATTTCAAAACAAATGGCCACAAATTAATGATATTTCCCCCCAATGTTCAGGTTCACGGTCCCTGCAGGATGAACCACCACACCATCACCTTTCCACTAGCGCCATTCAGGACAAATGGCTAACAGACTGGCTAACTAGATTCAATGAAATTCAAACACCTTGCAGCTTTTAGAAGCTCAAAACAGGCCATTAAACTATTTATATATTGTTGTATGTGGATTGTATTTTTTAATACAGTAAATGCAGGTTCTTTCTGTGCAGCACAGCTTTGCCACATTTCATACCTTGCACTCTGGGAGACTCCTTCTCCGGCTCCAACCGTTGCAGTCGGAGCTTATTTTTGCCTCCGGAGCGGCTCTGCCTCGGAGAAATATTTGTATAACTAAAACTCCAATCTGTGGCTGCAGCTGCACAGCGCTTTTTAACTGCCTTCATGATTTGGGGTGGATGTAAACCTTGTGGAAGGGGGGTGTTGGGGCACAGGGAGGCTTGGGCTTGACGCTGGGGTATCAGGTGACAACCCTGAAACTTATCTTGTTGCGTCGTCTGTCGTGTTTAATATTCCGATGTTTTCACAGTGGCGATTTATTGGCTGAATGATGGGGAGACAGATGCACTTTGCTCCGCCTGACCTGCGCAGCGAGGCATCACAAACATAATCTTATGAGAGGTTGAAAAGGGTCACCTGCATTAGTTGAACAAACAGTGAGTGACAAGGGAGAGAGAAATGGAGCAAGATAGAAATACAGGACTTAAAAAAAACGACAGAGAATACTGATATATTAAGGATTTGATTGGTGAAACCACCTCGTGTTTTTAGTTCCTGTCATTTTCTGAGATGTTTCTCAGCTGCAGTTTCTTTTCCCGGCTATGATTTATGCTGAACACACTTTTTTATGTCAGATAAAATGTTTTCCTTTTGCAAATGGTTAATTACAAGCCAAGCTCCGTAATTTCAGAGACTATAAGAGGAGAGTTATACTCTGGTCGTAGCGGATTAAATGTGTTATGTGTTTACCGTTGACTTTTTTGGCTTTGAGAGGTATATCTCCACAAATACTTGATGGATTGCCATGAAATTTGGTGCAGATGTCCGTGGTCCCCAGAGGATGAATCCTACTAACTTTGATGATCCCCTGACTTTACATCTAATACCTCCAGTAGGTCAACGTTTCCATATATCCAGTGAAATCTCTCAACACGCATCAGAGAGTTTTTATCTAGATATATCGTAGCTTAAAAGTCTTATGTTTGACTGTAAAACTCTCTAAAGTTTATGCATATATTTATATATGGTCTTAGTTCAGGCTGTGATCTCAGATCCATCTGTCTATAGAAGTGGTAAAAATAAAAAGAGACATGTTTGCGAGGAAATATTATTTGGGTAGAGGAAGAAAAAAAAAAAAGTTAGTCATCAGTAACTTTCCACCTCTGCCCTCAGTACAGCTAACCCCGGGGATCATGGGAAAGGTCCCTTTAAAAGAGTGTGACCAATCCAGCAGGGCTAGAGCCAGGTTAAACAGCTGTACAAGCATTATGATTTTAACAATAAGATCTCTGGAATCTGGCTGCAGCCATTAAATCCTATGAAACCATGCAGGGGCCAAATCTTCTTCCTGGTATGCGTGCGTGTGTGTGCGTGCATGTGTGTGTGTGTGTGTGTGTGTGTGAGAGACTACATTGGTACGTGCTCCAGTGGATTTGTTTCCAAATGTGTAATTCCCCCGACCGGTACCAGAGCTGGTATGTTGCTCAAAAGTGGCGTTCTGTTAAATCATGTCAATCCACCCGTAGCAGCGACTCGGGAGCTCTGTACAATTTTCTAATCATCTTTAAAAACAACAGCCAGAAGGAGCAGTGGGTCACTTTGAATAACTTAAACCGTTTGTAGTTGTCCGCGGCGGCCGCGGTGCGCTCTCCTGTGACTGGCATGTTTACCAAACGCTGTAATGGCATCATTTTCTGCTATGCTGCACTCTTCAGCAAAGCAGAACAGTTTGTTTTATTTCAGAATGGCAGGAGGGTTATACAAGGAAGCCGTACTGCAGCAAGTCACCAGGCATCCCTGGGTACATGTCAGAGTTTCCCACTCGAGGTATTTTTAGATACAAAACAGGAACATTTAATGAATATCAGCAAAAATTCCAGATTCTGACTTCGAGATACGGCTGTAACGCAAGCATATTGTTTTTACATTTTCAGGATGGATGTCATCCAGAACTGTTTCAGCCCGGTACAGCCTCTGTGAGCCAAATAATTACAGCCAGCCCCTTAATGGTTGCAGTTCCTCCACCTTTCCGATTGTCAGATTTCAGCCTCTGTATCTGAACTTCTCTCTCAAGCTCTCGTTTATCGTTCGTTACATAACAACTGTCATCACTTCTCATGTGTGCGAATCGCAGGCTCCTTTATCTCCATTTGTATAATTCATCACATTTTGCTCCTCTCTGTGACAGCAGGCTCGTGGCCCCGCCCCTTCATCCTGGCTTAAATGGGTTGAAACCAAAAACCCGTGGACTGCAGTTTTGAGTCGGGTTATTTCATTTTTTCTTCAGACTACAATAAAATATGCCATCAGAACAATTTGAAAGATGCAGTAACCACATAAAAAAAATCCTCCAGCTAAGTTCTGCAGTCAAATTAAAGCTGCAGTCTATCAACCGAATGCTTTGGATAATGGTCGGCGATGGATGATGATGTTGTAAAGCATAAACGACTTAAAAAGAGCTTTGTTGAATGTTTTAAACAAGTCCTCCAACCTGAACAACCATGCGGGTCGACTTCTTCAACCCTCTGATACGACCCATAGGAGTGTCTCCTGAAACAGAGCCCTATACGGCGGCGGGCGTACCTCACCGCGGTTGTTATGGTTACAAATAATAAACACACGGACTGCACGGAGAGCGCCATGGTTACTGCATTAACGGTCATGGCTTTCGGTGGTTTCGGAAAAGATAAATTTGGGTTAAAATAAGCACCTCCGCAACATTACACGATCGTTGTTGTCATGGTTACAGTAATAACAGCATGGTTGACTTTGTTGAACGGTCATGGATAATTTAAACAACATAAACAGTTACTTTCACACGGGAATCGAACACACGGGACTCATCCATCCGCCACAACATGCTCCTTTGTCGCTCTTTAAACTACGTCACCGACACTTTTCCCCCGTTTGCCCCTGTCATAATCACTACAACCACTAGTTGTCGCCTAGCAACAAAACGTAACCACGGGTCATAACAACCTGCTGCACAGACGACGTCTCGTTTTAAAACATTGAGCTGACTTCAGACAGATATTTAGATCTAAATTTGTCAGAACAACATGAACAGCAGCTCTGTCTGATTGTGGATGTGTCACATTTGTTCGCTGACAACATTTACACAAATTTTTGCTACGACACAAAGAGCCAAAAAACCTAAATCGACAAACCAAAAGGATTTATTGAACAGACACAGTTCAGGGGAAAAACAGTTCATAATCCAATCTCTCTTACAACAAACAAACTGATCGACAGCCTGTGTCTTGACTCAGAAGGTCTTTGTAGATGAAGTTAATGCACCAGCCGTAATGAGTTTCTGACCAGCACAAAGGAGGCTCTGCCGCTGTCAGTCAAAGCGTCTCTGTGATAAGGAAAGTCATTTAGACCACTTTGAAATCCGCCCTCGGGTTACTCTGGAGCTCGTCCAATCAGATCGCAATCAGATGATATCATGTTGCCTGGCACTTGTGCTGGTTAGTTTGACATTTTCCCATCCTGAACGCTGAATGCTGTAATTATGATATTACATATATGATCCAGCTCTGCATCATTAGAAATTCCCTCAACTTTGGGGCATTACATAATGGGTTTAACATCAACCTCTCTTTCTGTTACCCTTTGGTATCTCTGCTGTTATTTTTGAAACACTGTCACATGATGAACAAAGGTGACAGGAGACATTCATGCACACAGATTCTGACTTGCACACAGTAATACCCAATCACCAGCTTTTAATTGTTATTTTAAAGCGAAAAAACAAACGGCAGACCTTAGATGGACGACACAGTGTGTCTCCTGCTCCTCCTCAGGGGAAGGAAACACATCCCAGTTTACCTAGACGATCACAGAAGGTTTCTCACAGTAGCAGTATGTGTGTATATGGGCCCTTGTGTCAGATCAGTATTAACAAGGAAATAAAATTGCGTCAGTGGGGAGAATCTGGCAGAGCTCTTCTTCTTCCAGATGCTTGTTCTTGTAAAGGAATAGGAGCCCCTACGTTTTCTCTCTCTCTCAGGCTTAAAGACATTTATCTAAGAAGCTGCTAACAAGAGAAACAAAGGGTTAGTTTACATGGTAGCGTGCAAACAGACTTCCCACATGTTCTGCAGCTGAGCCTTGATTACACGTGGACAGAGTTTGTTGATTAAAAAATTAATCACAAATACTCTCAGTGACAGATCCATTACATTAAAGGACACATTTTTATTTTTTCCTGTGTTTTATTTGAAGTTTTGATATCCATAAGGAGATAAATTTGTGGTTTTAAGTACCAAAAACCTTCTCTCAGTCTCTCAGGCTTCTCTCTGGAGCTCTAGTAAGAACAGGTTGGTGAGCCAATCAGAAGAGAGGAGGCTCTGAGCCTCTCTTCTGATTGGATCACTGTTTTCTGAATGATCTAATTAAAATATAGCAGATTTCATGTAAACTCTCAGAGAAACCAAATCCTGCAAGGTTGGATAGTGGGTCCAGGTGGCATGGCTGAGAGCAGCGACTGCTTTGTTGTGACATCACAAAGTTCAGGAAGTCCTGACGGCTGGTTTTAAGGCTCAGTTTCTGAATACAGGCTGTGTGCATTTCTCTGTGGACTGAGGCTTTGATACTTTCACAGTATTAATATAGAACCTAGACCTGATCTATAATCACACTACACGTGGACATCTACCTTTGTACAATATGAGACCTTTAAAGCTAAAAGAAAAAGCTCAGAGGTAATACCTGTTAATTCATTATCTTTCCCCTTCTTTTGCAGGAGTGGTTCACAGACGACTGTAAGTTCAGAGAACGTTTCCAGGAGAACAGCTACAACACTTACGCCTCAGTAATCCACAGGAACCACAGGACTGGTCGCGAGTGGTTTGTGGCCCTCAACAAGAGGGGGAAAGCTAAAATGGGCTCCAGCCCGCGGGTCAAATCCCAGCATGTCTCCACCCACTTCTTGCCAAGGGTCAGTCTGCATGACAGGAGCGAGCGAGGCTTCACCATCACAGACAGGAGCAAAGAGAGGAGGAAATCCCCGCCGCCAGCACCGCCCAAACCTCCCTTGGCGAAGGCTAACGTCCACGCGGGAACAGCACCGAGACGCACGCAAGTCAAGTACTGGCCCAAGTACCGGTTTGGATAGATATCACAGGGTTTGGCTCTATCTGTGGAACACAAGGTTGATAAACATTGGACATGTACCATAAGTCATGGACGTGCCCAAAAGAACGGACAATGGTCATTTATCACATTCAAAGCATTCCGGGTATCTATGAAGTGTATGAAAACCTTAAAGGGCTGCCAGGTACAACTATTGAGCTTGTCTTTGCTGAAGCTATGATCATAGTTGGGAGTTGTCTTTCCACTTGAGTTGATTGTTTTTTGTTGAACATGGTGAACTTTGGCAAAATGTCCTGTAAAAATCAGACTCTGTTAAATCCATAACTTTCTCCATATTCTTAGTGAAACTTACTTGAAAAGATTTTTGAATTATACATCAAAGACAGAAGAGCCGTCCATGCTGTTCTGCCATCTTTCAAGCTGAATGAAAATGACCTCAGTGGACCTGTAATGGCCTCTATCATTTGTCAGTTAGGTAATTTGTTTGTCATCAAAGAACTGTCCAAAAATGTTATATTATGGGGTGAGTGCAGACTAAGAAACGAGAAGGGTAGTCTGAACCTTTATGGGAGGGTCCTAGTAGGGTCCTTTAAGTTTTTCCACCCTAGATTTATATTTCATTTCCACATTTCCTTGTGATATCTAAAAAAAACTTTCTGATCATAATCAACTAGCAGCTAATACAAAACCAATGTGGATTTTTATAATCATTATTATTAGTTGTTGACCATTATCTCTAGCGAAGAGGGCATCATTTTTCACTAGCTAACAGTGGCCCCCACCATTATTTTACAGTAAATGCCAGATATTATGGAAAAGGAAAATTTTTTTCCTCACTAATTATGATTGCAAAAAAATTAACAGTCACTTGCCGAGAGCTTCAGCCATCATTGCATAAAATACGATGCAATGTTAAAATACGACCTCTGAGCAGTTCTATGTCTTCAGGGCAGACTGAACGCTACAGTGACTCGGTATTGGAAAGTGACGAGATAGTCCGACCAGGCTGGGACTAGCTGGTTAAGCATGCTAAATTCAGTACAAGAAAAGAAATGATCGTTCAACAGCTGTTAATGCTAACGCTGGCTATGTAGCATTAGCAAAACAGCTCCTTTAAAACACATATAAAATTAGGAGGGAGGCACAAAACATGATTGTTAAATTCCATAATTTTATCAGCATCGTCAGCCAGAAAAGTAAGTTGCCACTCAATGAAACTCAATTGTGGCAAACAGACAGCAAATCCAACCATGTTTTAACAGCTAATCACACACATGTAAATGACAAACTTATGATGGTAAAGACAAAAGACGTTTTTAACTTCAGCAGTAAACACTAGAAAATAATTATATCATAAATATGTCTGAAATGATGTGACAAATCTGACTCAAAGGCATAATTCTTTTTAGCCACTGCTGAGACATGAGAGGCTCTCTCAAACCTGGCTTGGAAAGTGCTTCAAACATGTCTCCTGCCTAAACATACACACCAGCCAACTGTCCTTTCCCTAACACCAGATTTGTGATAATCAACATGAAAATAAAGACCGGCTCTCCGGAGACCCTCCCCTCCTCCTGGACAGCTGTGGGGGATCAAGGAGAAAACTGTCCATCAAAACTATCATTTTAGCAACCGGCTGTCCCTCGGAAAAATCTAGAGTCACGACCTCGCCGCATTCCACCCAGGAGGAGCGCACACCGCCGTCACCACGGGGATAAAGATGCCGAGAAGGAACGCACCCGTGTTTTGGGGAAGGTTTCAAGCTGTAGGTGTATCAGATGGCAAACAGCCGTGGAATGGCAGTGGACATCTCTGGGGACGAAGACAGGCTTAGGTTGTGGAGAATAAACGAAGGCCTGAACCATAAATTTGTGCTGTCTTTAATTTAATTGTTTGACATACAGGAGCTTGGGGCAAATTTAGCAGAAGCATTAAAAAGAAATTCAAATTAATGATCTATGTCACAGCCTGTGTATTAACCTTTGGAAAAAAAAATGTTTCAAAGTGTAAAAATATGAAACTATGGCACATTTTTAAATAGGAATCAGTTTGTGCAACAGTGTAAACCAAATGATTTACAAATGTGGTTAAGATTAGTGCAATGTCCTGAAAATCCAGGCGATATGAAAGCACTCAGAGTTCTGTTACCCAACCGTTTTGTTGTGTAACCCACAGGCTCGGCCAGGGTTCAGGCCTGGTTATTTTCAAATGTATTTATTAAGATATTTCTTTCTCTGACTGTGCTAATAATCTGCTTTCATGTGTGCAGCATTGTTCTGTAAGTAGAATAGCCAGTGAGATGAGGGTGTTGCCTGGCAGAAGGACAAAATAATGCAAAAACACATCCGCTTCAGGTCTCAGGTTCAGGTCTCAGATTTTGCAGGGGTCCGTTTTAAAGCTGTGCAGAACGCTATGTGTGCTATGAGCTTATTGTTATAATAGAAAATGTTATAAATACATGAAACGACAGAGAATCATGGGATGCAACGACCAGTAAAATGAGGTAAAATGCCTCTGTGATATGAGGTTAATACACAGGTGTCAGCCAGTGCTTTTGCTCTTGTCATCATTCAGACTGTATGTTTTTCTGCAGGTTACCAGTTGACAGAGGCCCTTATTGGCTGTAGATATCTTGATGCTGTTATGTTTGTTTGTTTTTTAAATGATCTTCTGTGTTGTCATCATGTTGTGTGGTCTTCATACACATCCCAAAGAAATATTTTTTGTACCAGAATTTTTTTTTTTTAAATAAAAACTTATGTATCAAGAAGAGTTTTTATGTAAAATGAATATTACAAATAAATATATCAGTGGATATTCTTAATGTATTATGTTTTATATGACGTTTGGGGGAAATGCAGCAAGTGGTTATAGCAAATATAAATATGGAAGATGTGAATATGGAAGTACTGTGTGTCTCTCTGAGATCCTAAAGAGAAGGAACTGGTCCAGGGTCAGTGTGGTCGACTAATGAAAGACAGGTGTGTGTGTGTGTGTGTGTGTGTGTGTGTGTGTGTGTGTGTGTGTGTGTGTGTGTGTGATGACAGGACTGTGCTGTCTGATGTTCTCCACACCCTCTGAGGTCATGACAGTTTTTACTTTGGTCTAAAACAGACCTGAGCGCTGATTACTTACCAATGTTTTCAATCTTTTAGATATGAGTACGAGTGGGATTACTCCTCCTCCCCTGACACTAATGATTCAACATTTAGCCTCATTAACGTAATGTGTCGCGATGTCACAAACAAAGAGAATTTTTTGTTTTTGTTTTATGCTGCTTTCTTCCCTGAGGAGGTAAGAGGTCAGAACCCGTGCTGTCTCCGCCCAGATTGGCGTCTTAGCTCTGTATCAGAAACAATCTCCGTCCATACTAACAGACACACATAAAATTCAGAATTCAACTGACCTTGTTTTCTTTGCTAGCAGCAGTTTTATCTGCTAGCAAAGAAAACAAGGTCAGTTGAATTCTGAATGCTTGTAACTCGTTGTCCATGTTGCTTTCACCCAATCAGGGAGTGACCGTGTTTGTCTGCGTTAATGTTTCCAAAGTTTCTCCGTTTCTGCCCGTCCGGACTGAAACGCCATCATGAGTTTCCAAACTAAAATGGGGTCAGGACCGTTTCCAAAAGTCTCTGTTTCCGGGGGCTCGAACACTCCAGAGTGGTGCGGTCGCCAGACGTAAATACAGCAAAAGTGATGTGTTTCAAAACTAAACTACAAGTACCACCTCGTGATTGTATGCTTCTGCCAACCAGCCACGTTGCAGGAAATATGGTCACAATCACTCCTTCCTGAGTTACAGTGTTGAATAATGGCCAGACGGGTTTTTTTTTTTTGCAGAACATTATGATGTCACAGTGAAGTTGACCTTTGACCTTTTGGATATAAACATTTGTGTTAAATTAGCTGTGTCTAGGGGGCCGGATGCCGTGAGGGGCCGGATGCCGTCCATGAAGGTGTGGCCCTTCGTAGCCGTTGTAGACCGCGAAGGCCGAACCGAAATGAGACGATCTTGTCCACTTTTGCTGTGCGTCATCAGCTGTGCTCGCCCTTACCGTTGCGTTGCAAAGCAAACTACATTTTCAGCTCTGCATTCTTTATTTACTACTTTGAATTTATAGGCCACTCATTGTCTCATTCTCTCCAGGGTTGATATAACATGGAGATACTGTATAAAAGTGATAATTTGTGGAATGTCGTTTAATCACATTGAAAATAAAAATCAATCAAATTGTCACACATTCATCTGAAAATCAGGTAACATGAATCAGGAAGAAGAAAAGAAGATTGCTCAACTCAGAGTAAGAACAAGAGAAGTTTTGCGTTTATTATTCATATTGCTGTTAAATAATGAAGCAGCTCTTTATTTCTAGGTAAGAAAACACTCGAGACGAAGCTTGCGTGACTGTTTATTTAAAGTTTATCATGAAGGAGCGGCTCCCCTCGTTAACCAGCTCACGTCGCTCCTCTCTGCCATCTGCCCCCCCCCCCCCCCCCCCCCCCCCCCCCCCCCCCACTTCCTCTTGTCTTGTCCGTCTGTCTGCACACGCTCACGTTGGCCTATAAGTTACATGGCTGTCACATGAGAGCACATACATAACAAAATTTTTAATCATTACCTCACTTTTCCGTGGACGTCATTGCAGAGCCATTAAAAGTCACACCGAATGAGAAAATTAAACAAAATGATAATAAAAGATGATAATGACAGCCAAGAGTCACAGTCTTTCTGTAAATGGAGCCGAGAACATTCCCCCTGAACATTTTATTCTGTATTTTACAGTCGGTGAAGGCGCCAAATAGCGTCGATTTGCCAGGACTTAGGAACTGACATCATGGGACTGGATTACTTTGTCATCTCATACATTATTCCAAGAAATATAAAGTGCAATCAGGTATACAGAGGACATGTGGTACTTTTTCCACCTCTGACATAGCAATTAGTTACTTAAATTCAGTTGAATTAAATTATTTATCTTTATTTTCTCAAGAAAAAGCCACACTTTTTTTTTTTAAATGACACTGCACAAATATGTTTGGATTAACACATGACAACAGTGATTCCCAACTCAGGAGGTCACAACATGATTAAAGAGGCAAGAAAGAAACAAAACCAAGGCACGAAACATTACATTATAGGTAGAGAATGTGTCACAGTCCCTGCTTTGCCTCTGGGGGTTGGACCCCGCTTTGTTTCTGGACCTAGACTACAAGTCCTCTCAGGTCAAAGCAAGATCTCTTCGTGGATCTGAAACAAACCTGGGGGAAACTTACTCAAACATGACATGCATAAATAAATTTTAAGAAAAGACCTGAGGACAGACCTAGTCTGAGATAAACCCAAACAGAACCAAACAGACGGAGAACACGGACAATAGTGACATCTGAACAAAGAAATTCACACTTACAATCTTGTATTGAAAACACATTTTCTCCTTTAATGATCATGATAGCGAGTCTGCTCAGACCCACTCAGCTGAATGGGCCTCTACCCAAACCTAGATAGGAGGAGCAGGGAGGACCAGTGACGACCTTTAACCTAGAGTTCTCTTGTAAAATGCATTTTAGCTGCACTGGAGCTCCAATGTAAATTAAAAAAAACATGTTGCTGTCTGTTCAGCTTTCAGAATTCTCCTCAGTCCATCAGCTTCACTTGACCTGTGAGTAATTCAGAGATGTAAATAACTATCAATGCAAATCTGTTCCATCCATCCATAAAAGCCCCCCACACACTGGGCAAAAGGCAGAGTCCACTGTGTCACCACATGTGGTAGGCTACTACTACAAACTTTCTGTGGCTGCAATGTACACACAGTGGGAGTTAAAATGTGGCCAGAAATGTAAGTTTTCTGCACTTTATTTTGAAATGGTGGAACCACAGGAAACAACATGTAACATATGATTTTACTAGCAAATTACACTTTTTCTAATCTATGAATTATTTCTGAATTTATTGTGTGACTGAACAACAGCTCTTCTTTTTTCAAGTGTTAAGACTTGTATTCTTTGACCCAGCAGATACTTGGGGGGGGGGAGTCCGTGAGCGTGCTGACTTCCTGACTTCCTGTGATGACGTCCAGGTGGGGCGGTTGCTATAGCAGCCACTTACAACACAAACCCCGCGAAGATGGAGTACAGCGCGGCCGTCCGTTTTCACGATTCTTTAACGCAATATAAAGTCTACGAAGATTATCTGGACTCCAAAGTCACACCGATGGATTTATTTTACTTAAAAGTGAGTCACACACGTACAAACTGTTGACTTTCGGCCCTGTGTGTAGCGTGTCTTTACCTACATAAATCCACTTCCGCTCTGTTTCGCACACCGCGCCAGAACCGCCTTCACTAAGACGTCAATTTAAAGTTTGTCTTTGCCAGTCCGCAACACTGATCGCTATTAAAACACGACTTTGGACTTTTCAAAATCTACAAAACCCCTTCTTCAATTCGGCCTGTGCCAAATCCTCCAACCCGTTCTCATTAACAATACACCGTCACTTTTTTCAGATTTGTTTGTCAGACTTGTTTGCAGCAGCTAGCAAACGTTGCTCCGGCTGTAAGACGACTACGGAGCGGGAGAACCGATCTTACAAGTTGATTTTTATTGAATCAGTTGCCGTAGAATAAGCTAGATATTTGCCGTATGTTAACACGGTATCCTTACGATTGTAAAACGGTTTAATGGACGTAAACGTCGGTTATGAGTCATGCTGGTGAGCAAGTTACCACACTTGCTAAAAGTTTGAACGGAATCTGGTGAATAGTCCTCTTTATTTTTAAAACGATGTACAAGATGTAATCGGATTTTTTATTATTACTATCGTTTTTTCTGGTTGTTTTGTTGACAGTTTTCATTAACAAACATTCAACTTTGATACATTAAAGTAGTAAATCTGGAGTAGCACAAATGAAGGCTTTGTTGGTGTAGTGTCTGTTAGCACACGCTAGGTGGCAGTCACACACAGCCTTGGTAGCACGGTTTAAACTTTAAGTTTACTCATAGCCTGTATGGGTTTACCAAGAAGCTACCACTCATCTAGTCATTTAAAGTTTCCTTTATGAGAGAAAATAAATAAAGTAATATATATATATATATATATTTTTAAATCATTCCTCACTAAGCTTGATTCTTATTTGTTTTGTCAAAATAGCCTTTGAAAAGACCAAAACACACCAACACTAGATGAGTTGTTGGTCAATACTGGTTTCTTGCAGCAGAGTTCACCACAAGCCCTAGTCCTAGGCCCACCTTGACATATGGTCTCTGCTCTTTACTTTAGTAATCATTCATTCAATCTTTATTGAGAACACAACTAATTCCAAACTTATAGTAAGACAATGAGACAACAAGGCTCAAATTTTTTTTTTAAATTAATTGAATTAAATAAAAAGAATATGAGATTGAATTAAATTAATAATAATTTAATAGTGTTACTTTTGCAAAAGGTCTTATTACCTGAAATGTATCTACCATTATTACCAAAAACATCAACTTGACTTACAGCGTCACTAAAAACCATCTTTACGTTTGTGTATATTATTATTATTATTACTTTTAAGAGGAAGTGTCAGGATTTACATTTATTATTTACATCTTCATGTCAACAGTGGAACTCTGAATCATATCTAGATGCTCTGATGTAGATCTCTCCAGGTTTTATTTAACCGGGTTATCAGAAACAGGTGGTCCTGCTTTTGCCCAGCAGATGGCACACTTGTTAATGCTATACCTAGCTGCTGCTTTGGCCACTTTGTTTGAACACCTGTGTCCACACAGAGAAGAGAACAAGTCCTATCTGCGCTGATAATCAGCTGCAGTCAATCATATCAAACTCAATCACCCCTCTGTTGTGACACAACACAGTCAGCCGAGGTCATCTAACCTGTGCAGTCATGCTGATGACGCTTAGGTTCTGATAAATCAGCTAATTATAAACCTATTTTTCCCAGATTATGTTATTTAGGACTTGTCACAAACTATGAGCGTGAACTCAAAAAGCTGAAGTAGTTGATAGGGTCGTATTACAATGTCATTGTGGCCTTGGCCATCAGTGTTCTGGAGTATTAGTCCAAGTCCTGGTGGGTCGACTGTAAGGAGCAGTTCATTCAAATAGACTTATTCAATGAGCCTTGAAAATGAAGACAATGATTTTCAGGCCAATTTTAGGACCGGCAAATGTCTGAGACTCATTTCTGGTGAGCCACATCAAAGTTGAAGGAAAATATAACTTTTCCTCTCGGGTGCGGACACAGGCCCGGCTGCGAGGATTTTGGGTAGGAGGACATGTGGCAGAAGCTTTGATCTGACAAGCCACAGGATTTGACAGCAAGATTTGGTTTTTAGATGATGACTTTATGGCTTGGCTTTAATGACAGCGGCTCTGCAAACGGTGATTGGAATAATGTAGCTAACAATCCCTACAGAGGCACTCGCATATGCACGCTCGCGTACACACACACACACATACACACACACACACACACACACACACACACACACACACACACACACACACACATACACACTTAGAACATGAATGGACCTGTGTGTATGCATGAAATCACGCTAAACCCACAAAACTAAACTGTATCTGAAGCGTGTGGTGTTGGAGAGCAGGAGATCACTTCCACATTTTAGGGAGGGAAGTAAAATAACAATTTTAAGCTAAAGGCTTTAGCGGTGAGTAAATCCGAAATCTTAGTGGTTGACAAAATATCTTATTTCATTTGTCAGTGGTGATTAATGAGCAGGACTCAGATCCAGGATCTTACAGAAACTGGATATATGCTTTATCTGAAACCGCCAGTGATGCATCAATCAGGGGATCAACAGAAAATTAATCATTTAAGTTATTTGTCAAGCAGAAATACCAGATATTCTCTTGTTGTGGCTTCTGAGCTATGATGAGATGTTGCTTTTCTCTGTTTTCTATCATTGTGAATTTGATATCTTTAGGTTTTGGACTGTTTGGTCATTTTTAAAGATCCATATTTTACATTTTTATGGTGTTTTGATTATGAAGTGTTGATCCATAAGAAGATATATTTGTGGTTTTAAGAACCAAAAACCATCTCAGTGTAGTATTACATCTCCTCTCTTCTCTCTGGAGCTCTAGAAACAACAGGTTAGTGAGCCAATCACAAGAGAGGAGGCTCTAAACCTCTCTTCTGATTGGCTGAGTGATCCAATAAAAATGTAGCAGATTTCAGGTAAACACTTAGAGAAACGAAATCCTTCATTGTTAGATGGTGGGTCCAGGTGGGCGGGGCTCTGGGGCATGGCTGAGAGCGGTGACTGCTTTGTTGTGACATCACAAATTTACAGAAGTCCTGACAGCTGTTTTTAAGGCTCAGTTTCTGAATACAGGCTGTGTGCATTTCTCTGTGGACTGAGCGCTTTGACACTTTCAAAGTATTAATATAGAACCTAGACCTGATCTATAGTAGACAAAGAAATGGTAATCCACCTTTATACAATATGGGGCCTTTAAAATATTCAATAATATTGAAAACAGTAGTTGGTGTTGCACTCTTAAAGTGGTCTCTAGGAAGAGCAGTGAAAAAAAATCCCACCATTTGCCAAAATTCAAGACTGACAACATCTGACAATCTCCAGGCCCGACTGCAGGCCGTGTCCCCTCTCCTTGACTGACTCCTCTCCCTTTCCCTTGTCTGTTGCAGAGCAGGGAGTTGGCTCGTAAGCTGGTGGAGCACGGCCACAAGGGCACGGTCCTGAGCAGGGAGGAATTCGAGGAGAAGAAAGCAGCTGCACAGGCTGCAGAGGCTGCGAGGAGCAACGCTCTGTACAACAGGAGCCGGCCAATGTGAGTTAACTACTCACCAACCCACCACCACGTTCACTGAGGTGTGGTCTGCAATGACTAACAGGGGAGACAAACTCACACCAACCACTAGTCAGATGCTCGAATATCAGGAGGCTCTGCTAGACTCTGAGAGTGAAGTTTGGATGTTTAAGAGTCTGAATGTGGTCGTTGGATTTGGGAATCAATCAGTCAGTGTGGCTAGGAGAAGTAAAGTTGCTCTTCTGGTCTCAGCCTCTCTGTGTTAGTGTTCTGTGGTTCATTGTACCGACTTCTTATACAGTGTGAAAGAATAATATTTTTAGATGAGTGATCCTCAGTCTTTTCCCCAGAATTAGTTTGCTGTGGTGGAAGCCGGGAGCTCCCTGTGTATCGGTTTCCGAACCAGTGCTGTGATGTCTCAGACAGTTTCAGTTCCAAACCAGGTCTGGTCATGATTTTATAAAAGGATACGACAAAAAAATGTGGCTTTGACATAAATCGTCCACAGTTTTTCAATTTAACTTTTTATATAGTTATTATTTTCTCCACTGCGGAGGTGTTTTTTTTTTTTTTCCTGACCTCTGACCTCTCTGTGTAAGGTCCCAGTGGAGCCTGATTAGGTATTGTGTGATTGCTGTTATTGTTGCCACATACAGTAAATAGCACCGGTCACTCACACTGGACAAAAACAGTGTTCAGACAGAAAATAGCAGTGTGTTTTTCTCAAGCGGTGGTGTGGGCGTGTTATTATCCCCTCTCTTGACAGTTGCAAGAAACAGTAGAAAAATGTTGAGACTAAATATGATCCACCAGGAATGTGCATTGACTAATGCAGTGTATTGTTGAATGATGTTGCACTGTGTTGCAGGAAAAGGTCCCATGTTTTACACCATCCCATGTCCCATGTTTTTACTTCTCCTGTGTTTTATTTGAAGTGTTGATCCATAAGAAGATATATTTGTGGTTTTAAGAACCAAAAACCATCTCCCTGTAGTTTTCCATTTCCTCCCTCAGGCTTCTCTCTGGAGCTCTAGTAACAACAGGAGCGGTGAGCCAATCAGAAGAGAGGAGGCTCTGAGCTTCTCTCCTGATTGGCTGACTGTTTTCTAAATGATCAAGAATATAGCAGATTTCAGGTAAAACACTCAGAGAAACCAAATCTTGCAAGGTTGCAAGGTGGGCCGAGGTGGGCAGGGCTTAGGGCCTGGTTGAGGGCAGTGGCTGCTTTGTTGTGACATCACAAATTTACAGGAGTCCTGACAGCCTGTTTAAGGCTCAGTTTCTGAATACAGGCTGTGTGCATTTCTCTGTGGACTGAGGCTTTGATACTTTCACAGTATTAATATAGAACCTAGACCTGATCTATAATCAAACAACACATGGACATCTACCTTTATCCTGTATGGGACCTTTAATCATCTGTTCGGAAGGTGAGGCGAATGTGAGAATTTGAGAGAAGGTGTGATCGCAAGCAAAATCAATAGAAAGCTGCAAAGTCAAAGTGTGCGAATAACGGTGCAGGTTCAAAATGTTTCACCAAAAAAATGTGTCTTTATGAATCTGCTTCATAAATGTACAGACACAAGAGAAACAAGGAGTGAGAGACTGGAGGAACACGAGACAAAGAAGTTCCTGGTTCGTCTTGAGTTCAGTCAGATGTTGAGTCAAACACAAACACATAAAACGTAGTCAGGGCTACCCAGAGTTTAGGGGTGCAACTAATAATAACAAAAATAATAACAACTTTATTTATATAGCACCTTGAAAAAAAATTTACAAAGTGCTTTACAATAAAAACAGAAATGCAAATAATAAAATCCAAGCTAAAATATACTATAAAAACAACAGTCAATAAATGGCCCTGCGATAAAAGTGAGTCTTAAGAAGAGATTTTAAAAGAAGATATGTTTATTTTCTCAGTTTTCATAGTTTCTCAGAGCCCACTGTGATGCCTTCAGTGACTTCTGTCTGATCAACAGAACAAAGCCTAAAGACATTAAATTTATTATCATATACGACAAAGACAACAGCAAATTGCATTTTTACAAAAGACAGGATCAATGGGGAGCAAGTCATCAGGTCCATGTCCTGCATGAACAAGGCCTTTATTTGCCCATCTGTCTAAATCCAGATCAAAATGCTCAACATAAACAAGCTGAATGACTAAACTACAAACTGGAGTCCTGTGCAAACGGCCCCTCCCGAGGAAAGTGATCACACGGATTTTGTTCTCATTCTTGATAAAGCCATGTGGCTGTGGTATCTCCTTTGATGACAAGCCAGGACAGACTCCAAATAAGACCATTCACCACACACACACACACACACACACACACACACACACACACACACACACACACACACACGGCTTTGGAGTATCCAAACATTTACCTGCTAGGTGTTGCATTTGATTGAACCCTCAGATGCTTATCCAAATGTGCAGATGTCTCACTGTTAAACCCCCCCCCCCCTCTCCAAACGTCTGTGAACATCAGTGACACTGGTGAAATGGGAGCCTCCACACCTGCAGTTACAGTGATATTAGGCCACAAAGCCTTTCATCTTGTCCCAGCAGGATCCAGGGAAATGTTGTACGGGAACACTGGGATGTTATATACACAGTAGTCTGTTTCGTTTCCAAGATCTACATCCATGTAGACTCTGTTTCAAAGGCCGTGATCCTGAGATGTGTTTGCATGTGTCCTGACTTTGTTGGGAATACAGGATGAGATACACCGCATTGACAACTTCCAGTTGGACCTATTTTAAAGGAGAATATGAGTATCAAATTCTCACTTTATGTCGGTTTGAAAGGTTTGTGGTTTGCTCCTTTGAGGATGACAGCAGCTGTAGTTTGTAGTGGATTCACCACAGTCACAACGGATTCCAGTGTTACAGCAAAATAAATCATCTAAATGTAAATAAATAAATTTTTTAATTTTTAATCTAATCGACAAAGCAATATTTAGCAAAATTTAAATGGAAACACTTTTTTTCGCATTCAAGTCATAGCGCCTGTTGTGTCAGGCCCCAGGGAGCCGCTTCCAACTGTCATCACATTAAATTGTAATGATATTGCAAGAGGAGAAAACCCAGCTTTATTCGCATTAACGTCACTCAATAGAAACACACACCATTCGTAATTATGTTTGTCGACTTTTCTAAAAAAAAAAGAAAAAAGAAAAGCTTTTATTTTGTGCAGAATTGCAATGGAAACTTGGCTACTGTCTTGGTGTCGGTAGCAAAACGCAGTAAAAAAGAACAAAAGAAAAAATGTTAGGTTGGGAACCACTGCCGTAGACGATATGTCTTAGAGCTGTTGTGAGTCAGAGGTGAAGGCAGCTTCTATCGCTCGTGATTAAAACAAGCTGCAAATTGCTTGAAAAACAATCAAAGAGCACACAAAAACACTCAAATGATCAATTATCAATTGTCGAATTTCAGTTGCTCTTCAAACCTACAGGGGCTGAATATCTGATGATCAAAAGATGCATTTTCAGTGGATTATTTCTTTTTAAATATTTTCCCTTTAAGAAGTCACACTTGGATCTAGCTGTGTGTGTTTAATGAGCGTCAACACCACACAGAGTAGTTAGTAAGGGAGCGGAGTTGTTTCCCGTTTGCCTCTTTATATTGAATTTGACAGGAGCCAAGTACAAAAAACAATGAGAGATGTTTAGTGCCGGATTTAAAACACCTGCCCAGTTCATTTTAACGATTTGTGTTTTAAATTCAAAAACAGTCTCCTCTGGCTCACTTTTCTTTCTTTCTTTTTTTTTTTTTTTGCCATTATCAATTATAGAATGGCTTGTTTTTGATCGGCGCTCTGCAGTGGACAGATGGAAATGCTCTGTTAATAATCGGACGTCGCTGGGAAAGACATCACTCATAACAGTTTCACAGTGTGTTGTTCTGAGCTGACCGGACCGCAGCAAGTGGTTTTTGAATTCGCTCCAAGGCAATTAACCAAGCGGTGTTATGCTATTTCAAAAGGAAAACACTTTACATTGGATGTGATCCTGTTCTAGGTAAATGATAGCTTATAGCAAATTAATGTTTTTTTTGTTTTGTTTTTATTTTACGTTGAATGTAACCCTTAAATAATAATCTGATACGTCTGCTGTCTTTGAGGCTTCCTTACACTTTTGTCAGTCATTATTTGACCTTGTGACACTGTGTGAAAAATCTTATTACATTTCACCTGCTGTTTGGATTATCGCTCCAAAGCTAACAACCTGTAGGTGACTACGAGCCGACATGTGTTTTGTATATATATATGGTTTTTGAAATAATTAACAGCTTTAATTGCTTTCCCACCCTTGAAAATTTGACATCTTGCAAAAGACCTTGACAAGACAGAGAAAAAAAAACCTGCACAGCACTTGCAGACTGTTTCCATCAAAAGTGGTCAGTTTGAGTTGTGTGCCCCCCCACCCCCCCACCCCTTCTCTCCTCTCTGTCTAAATGCAGATTGCTCTTTCCTTTGCGGTTTTCTGATTGGACTTCCACCAAACTGACCCCCTGACCTCCTGTTATGGTCACACTGTGAAAACATGGGCCCCAGGATGCAATGTACCACCTGCAAAGTGGCTGAGCACAATCAGTACAGTGTTGTGAAAATGAATGTGAATGTGTGGTCACAAAAGCTGGCAGCTGTACGGTAAACAAACTAAATGTAGTCGTTCTTTGGCTAGAAAAGAATCCATCTATCCAAATTAACAAAGTGATGTCAGGAATAGCCGTGCATTTGGATTTGCATTTATTTATTTCAAAAACATGTACTTCCCTACAGACTTTTACACTTGCACATATCCTCCTGTGGCACTGGGCAGCCATGCTGTTTTGGGAATGCATTTCGCCTCCTCTGCAGGGCTTAACCTATGTCTCCTAAGGCATGTCTTTTTTCACTGCTCTGTCACTGCTCTGTGTTTTTTCCCCTTCCTTTCTCTTCTTTTTAACCTCCCCGCGCGCCCTTGGAGACCTTTAGTGCCTGCAGGTGTATAAATAGAGCTGTTTTCAAT